ACTATCTTGTAGAGAATTTTGAGCTCTATCTACCTTGTAAATTGCTAGTCCTTTGGACATATCCTTGATGAATTAATTAGAAATTGCGAAAATGAATGAACATAGTCGTTTTTTATATTTTTCTTATACGTCTATCATAGGTTCGGTTTAAACGTATTTTTCTGGCACAAAAGACAATTGTACGAAAATTTAATAAAAAGAACGGAAATTTTGTCTTTTTCGCTATGACACAGGAAGCGAAAAGAAAATCGTAAATCCTAAAGAGAATTTCAATAAATCTATGTACCAAAAGAAACCGATAATATATCGAAATGTCATTAAAATAAATCCGTTGTACCGGGGCAGAACGGCAAGAATTTTGGAATGGTCCCTTATAGTGGAAAGGTGTGTGTTCAGCTATTTTTATCAGAACGAGAGCGAGTCTATAAGTCGGGATAAATTCAACAAATTGGCATTGAAGTTTTCGTAGGCACACTGACAAATCAGATCATGACTAATCTACAGATAAGCGTATATCGTAAAAAACAAACATTTTTTCAATTAGCAAACGTATTATTTGACCGGATAATAGGTGAAATGTATAGCGTGCGGAAATACCAGATTTATAAAACTTAGTAAAAAGAGGATGAAAGGTAATCAAATAAATCGAAGCAAATGCACTATAAAATATTTTGTGTGACATATCGTGTGTATATCACCGACAGGAAAATAAAGCTTATTAAGAGTCGCGAAAAGTGATTTGTTTTTTATTTTATTCATTACACTCGATAATCCAGAAGATTTTCTATTTTTAGCAAGCAGTACTGCCAAAAGTTTAAGAAAAATTTTGAAACTGATAGTATTCTCCCATGGGAATTCTTTTTCATCATTCTGTTCGAAAAAGTTTTCTGAACTTTTGACAATAACCCTCACTAAAAATAGAAAATCCTCTGAGTTATCAAATGTACTTTATAAGAAAAAACACTTTTCTGCGATTCTGCATGAACTTTATTTTTTTCTTCACGTTGATATATAAATCGAAAATGTGCGGGAAAAGTCTAAAAAGTGATGTAGTGATAGATCAACGTGCCAATTTGTGTAAGACAATGGTGTGATAAAAATTCTAAAACTGATGTGGTAGTACTCCACAGTGTGCTTTTTACGTTTTTTGAAGTGTATCTTCTCCTAAGTACACTTTTTGTTGTTATTTCAGAAAAAAAATCTATGGATAATGAGGAATAAGTTGAGAGAAGTGTAGGCACTATACTGACTCAGCCGTTTCAATAATATTATTTATTCATTTTGTATAGACACCGACTTTGATGATGAGTCATTAGAAACATTAAAACGTTATAAACCTCGTAGTTTGGATGAACTGGAAAAACGAACAAAATTTACTAAGAAAGAAATTCAATTAATCTATCAAGGTTTTAAACAGGTAAAATGCTTTACTGTAATATAATAGGTAAACTTTAAAATATCTATTAGATTTGTATTTTAGGAATGTCCCACAGGAATAGTGAACGAAGAAACATTTAAACATATTTATGCACAATTTTTTCCTCATGCTGGTAAACACCGATGGTGGAATTCATATAAATAATAGACATCATATTTATTAATTTTTCTACTTTACAGATAGTTCAAATTATGCACATCTTGTTTTTGCAACATTCGATTTAAGAAGTTCTGGTATAGTCACATTTGAGGTGATGAGAGAAATCTTCTGTTTATGTTCAATGTATCTTAATATAAGAAATTTTATTTTTATTGTAGGATTTTCTAATTTGTTTATCAACATTGTGTCGTGGCTCAATCGAAGATCGTTTAAGATGGGTATTTACATTATACGATACGAAAAAAAGTGGACGAATAACCCGAGAAGTAAAAAGACAATAGACAGGAGTTATGGATACATAAAACTTTCACTTAATACAAATATTTTTAGGATTTACATCAAATAGTTTGTGCCATTTACAGTTTACTTGGCACTTGCTCGACTCCACGATACGATGATGACACAACCCGTGAGCATACAGCGGATGTTTTTAAGGTAAAATGATAGATCGTTTTTCAATTTCCAACAGTTTTTAGATATTTTATTTTATTTTGTGTAGAAATTTGATGTAGGTCAAGGATTTATCACAATTCAAGAGTTTATGAATACTTGTCTCAACGTAAGTTGACAGATAACCATGGAACAGATTTATGATTTGATAACTATTTTAATAACCGGTTAATAGTTTAAATATGGACGGTATCCCGGAAAAATTGCAGAATAGATCCCGTATACAAAAACTTGTATAAAAAACGTACAAAAGATCCCAATTTTTTTTGTCGCCCTTATCACTTTCATCTCGCCGACTCCCGCGCCGCCTTTGATCTTACTCAAAATTTTTGTATACAGGATCCATTGTGCATTATCGTCGGGATCTTTTCTGATTTTATCCTTTAAATATGCAGAAAGCCGAAATTTAGTTTTTAATTAGTTTTGAAAATCGACAAAAGCAAAATTGTTTTCACCGAATTATTTTGTTGGCGTCCGACGGATATATTCTCAACTGTGTTGAGACAAAAGTTACAGGACGGCAGTCTCGAAGACTGTGCGCGTAGTACGGACCAGTTCAAGTTACCAAGGCTCGAGCTTTTCTGTAACGAAAAAGCGGTTGTAAAACAAAATTTATTTAGTTCAAAATTGTTTTGATTCTCTTTTCAGGATAACACAATAATTCAGTCAATTGATGCTTTTCAGTAGATGATGTAATGTTTTTCATAGGAGATTTCATTTATTTAACAAGTTTTTAGGTCAATTATGTAAGAAATTTGTTCATTTATTTTGTCATTTCATTTATTTATTTATTTTATTTTTATTTTTATTTAATGTTTTTTTTTGTACAGATATTCATTATGAAAAGCTGAAATTGGTCAATCATTTCCTCTCATCTATATGGCTTGTAGAAAGGGTGACATTTCACATATATAGATGAACACGGTTAACCGCGTCGCCATCTCTAATCAAACTTTTACGTGTAAAAAAACAATGTTTTTTGAAAAAATTGCTTGTTTTTGTTCGAAAAATCTAACTTTTAAATCTTCACCCCTCGCTGTCAGAACGTTCGTAGGCTTTGCTTTTCTATAGTGCACATGCCTCACGTTTCTCGTTCATTTCTGACACAACAAAAAAAAGAAACAGAATGAACTGTTTTGTCAGAAATGAACGAGAAACGTGAGGCATCTTCATGCAAGACACAAAAACAAATAAGATATCTCTTCTTTGATACGGCTCTATTGGCTAACATTACTAATCGTAGAACTTTACAGAGGAATAAAGTATCTTATATTCAGTGTATTTCAAGAACTATGATGCAGAGTGAATCTTCCAGGTTTTTTTCTGCAGCTGTTATGCCAAGACATGCAACACAAAAACCGATGATTCCTATGTAGACAGACGTATAACCATACTCCTACTTTCTTAACATTTGTCCAAAATTGAGTCCGGACCAGTCTATCGGTTTTCAGAAATAGTTATGAATACACCCAAAACAGCAGATTTATGACTACTATATAACCAACTGCTGCATGCGTATCTAATCCAAAGACTATCATTAGACAAACTAATAAATTTTGCGCTAGCTCTTCTCATTGATGTGCTTTAATTAAAAACGAAAATGCACTATGTTTATTAACATTACGGCTTGTCCAAGCGTGACGCTGTGACAAGTTTGACACAGTAATTTAAGCTTTCCTCAAAAAGTGTATAAGCTAGAACCGTCGTCCTTGCGCCGTTCGACACAGCTCGCCATACTCTACTTTTAGTATAAAAATGAAGGTATGTGGTTAAGGACTCAAACTTTTAGAAGCGTTTTTCGGCGCGTGACGCTGTGACAAAATAAGGCCCTAAATTCGAAGTGCGTCTCGTTAAAAGCTACTTTGCTACGAATTTAGAAGAGCTAATAAAAAGCGTCTCGAGCAAAGTTTGTAGAGGAGTAAACGAGCTACTGATTGTTAAAAAAGAATCTTTCCAAAGAGTTTTCCATCCCTCAATAATTGTGTTTTATCGTCGTGACGCTGTGACACTTGTTTTTCCCAACAGAGTTTGGAGCACTAAACATTGCTCAAAGGGTTTCATTTTCACATCAGACTTAGCTTTAGACATCTAATATAGACTAAGGTTAAAATAAAGCTGAAAAAATGTTTTCACTTTCTTAGAATTGTGTGAAAATCTTAAAACTTAAAACTTTATTAAAAAGCTGGTTCTGAGTCTAAACTTCAAAAGAAACATATCATCTTGTAGAGA